CTTTTGAAATGAAAAACGCTTTATGTTATGGGGAAAACACACAAAAACGTTTTCTTTTTTTTTTTTCCTGTTCTGTCCATGAGAACGAATTCTGCAAAAGCGCAGCAAAATTTGGTTCCTCTTTGCAGAAGAACAAAATTTGACTTGATTTTCGATGAGGTGCTCGGGCTGGTTGCTAGGACTCTGTGGGAAGAGCCGAAATTTAACTCGACTTCCATTGAGGTTCTCGGGTTCATTCTAGCACTAGTGAACGACACAGTGACATTTTGACGCTTGAGTCCGCAACCACAGTAATTTGAATTTTTTTTCTTTTTACTAATTTTTTTAGCGCATTACCCTTTTCCGTTGAGATATTGCGAAATTCCGGTTAAATTTCGCGCTTTTTGCCTTAGTTTTCTTTCTGATTTTCCATCTTTTCTTGTCCTACAAGCGTTTCTTGGCCCTACTCTTTTGCCTCCTTCCTCCGCTCCGGCCCCGCGTCTCTTCGCCCCCTCTTAGTGGTCTGAATACCGGTGGTTTTTCCTCTCTTTGGCATGGGTATGCTACAGGGACGGAAATGTATTGGTGCAACAACTGCACGGTGATCAGTGAGTGCTGCGTATCATCGATGAGGCTAAATTCATGGATCATCCCCAGACGATCCATGAATTTGGTCCCGTCGATCTATCATCACTCATTTTCCACTGATCTGGCGGCGAGATCAGTGGTGGTACCAGATTTTTGTGAAATGTCGCCGCGGTTATAGCAACATTTTCAGCAACCAAGCATTTTCAGAACTTTTGTTGCCGAAGTGTCACTCTTCGTTCCAGAAGTGCGACGCAGTGAGTAGCAATTATTTCTCTCTTACACCTTAACTGTTTTTTTGTTTTAGTGGCGGCGTGCGCAGAATTTTTTTTTTTATTGGAAGGGGTGTGAGGGTTGTTATTTACCATTTAACTGAAACTAGATTCCCTCAACTTGAAAGAGAAAAAAAGGTTCCCTCAACCTATATTTTTGAATAAAGGAGGAAAAATGCCTTAGTGAAGTTATTGATCTGCTGAAGGGAAATTTTTATCTCATGAGTAACTTCAAAATTTTTTTGAATACCTCCAGAATTTTTTTTTTTTGGTTACCTCCAAAATTCTTTTTGTTACCTCCAAAATTCTTTTCGGTTTGATGATGAATTTTTTTTGGGCTTTTTTTTGAGGCACAACCAACCTCCTGTTACTGCGTACGCCGCTGATCAAAGTTCATTCGTGACAGTCATGATGATTAAGATGCATTTGTGCCAAATAATTTTGCGCAAATGCTGAATATCTTCTCCAATCATCATCATCATTAAGGAACGAAACTGCGTTGTCACGTAGACATGATCGTTTACGTTACCCGATCACGTAAGCCATTATGTTTACGTAGTCATTTTTTGCCGGAGCGTTAACCTTGCTAGCAAAGGTTAATGCTAACATTTTGTTGCTCTGCAAAAGGGGGAGGTGTAAATGCATCATGAACAGGGCACAAAATCTGTTCATTGGCGCAAATGCAGCTTATTCTGAATGAGTCACAATTTTTTAAAAAAAATTTCATACAAAATATTTCGGAGAAATTTCAAATTTTCTATCTCAAATATTTCTTCGGCTCTCAGCATCTTCATTCAACACGGCCAGTAAGGGCGCTGAGGTTGAAGAATTCAGCGTCGAACTCAATCAAATCTTTGTTTTCAAGCCGATTGTAGCAACCAGTTTGACCGTGAAAGCCTAAATGGCAAAGGCGCGAAAGATTACAACATGAGAGAACAGTATGAAAGAAAAAGAGTGAGATGAGATGTTTCGATCCATTAGGTCATATGTGCCTTAAAAGCGCGACAAGACCTCATCAGTAAGACGGTCGCAGTGCTTAATGGAAAAGAAAAGAAAAAAGAAAAACGACAGAAAGAAACAGAAGGGAAACGATATGATTGTGGGATTAGAAGGAGTAAGAGTAAGATGAAGAGGAAAAGAAAGAAGAAAAAAAAAGATTTTAAAATTTTTTTTTAAAAGAAATGCACTGTCCTCGGCAACGCCAAATTCAAATTAGAAAAGAAAGAGAGAATGAGAAACATATATTGATAAGTGTGACACTGAAAACAGGAAAAAACGACCAGTAATACTTCCCGAATTCGAATTTCCCGAAAAATGCAAGACGGTGATGGGTACGGTTTTTCGCCAAGCAAAATGAAGAACGATGTTGTCTTCCTATCGATATTCGACGCATTTCTAATAATGTAGTATGCGTCCAAAATGCTGTCTTCCAAAAAATGAAACGAAATCCGCACGCTGCCATCAAGAATGCATGATAACGTGGTTTTTTTAAAAAGAACAGTACTGTATGCGGCAGTTCAGCTTAACAAGTTTAAAAAGAAAAAAGGTGAAGGGATGAAGCATGGAATTACGAAGAACATTGGACGATAACGGCTGAAGTCAATTATTATTGTATGTGTTATATTAAGAAATTCGTTGAAAGCGCAAAAGAAGCCAAATGCGCTTCAGCTTGAGCCCCGGGACCAGATAAGGTCTCACGATTATGCAAATATTGCTAGGGAGAAGAAATGCGAAAGGCTTAAAGCTCGGGAAGTGATCTTTGGGGTAGTGCAAAACCGATTTTTCATACACATACATACACACACATACACAAATGCATGTATACACAAATAAATAAATAAATAAATAAATAAATATATATATATATATACGTACATACAAGTATATACACATACATGCGTACATATATACATACATACATACATACATACATACATACATACATACATACATACATACATACATA